GCAGGAAAGATTTCTGTCCCACCATGAGAGCTGGCACAGAAAAACCAGATTGGCTTTTTCCCAATTCTCCAGCATGGAATTGGATTTTTGTAATATTAAATATCCAGCTGAAAGCTCACAGGTTATCAAACTACCAGCTTGTTCCCAAAATGAGCAAGCACAGCCTGAATGCAGGAAAGATTTCTGTCCCACCAGGAGAGCTGGCACAGAAAAACCAGATTGGCTTTATCCCAATTCTCCAGCACGGAATTGGATTTTTGTAATATTAAATATCCAGCTGAAAGCTCACAGATTATCAAACTACCAGCTTGTTCTATCCCCATGGTCAATGAGGATAGAACAAATGCCCAAATTGCCAATTTGCCAATGAGGATAGAACAAATTGCCCAAAATGAGCAATCACAGCCTGAATGCAGGAAAGATTTCTGTCCCACCAGGAGAGCTGGCACAGAAAAGCCAGATTGGCTTTTTCCCAATTCTCCAGCATGGAATAATTCCAAATGAAGCCATGCCAGGGCACCTGAGGTGGCACAGCCATCATCAGGCTCACAGAATGAAGTTTTTTGGAGGTTTTGGAGGTTTTGGAGGTTTTTGGAGCACTCACTTTATTGAGGGTCCTCACGGCTGCATAGCGCAGGACAGGCTTGGGAGAGCTGCAGAAAAGCTGCAACACTGGGAAAGACAAAATCAAAATCAACCAAAAAACCAAAGATTTGGTTTCTTTCAAAGAAAGGAAACAGAGCAGAATGTCTGATGTATCTCCAACTACACACTGCTAGCAGAGTTTATCACACAGGTTAGAAAAACTCCTGGTTTTTATCCCACTGCCAATGCCAGAGGGTGGCTCGGGTGGCTCCACATTCCAGTTCTATATTCCAGCTGCAATTTAGTTTTCCCAGACAATCTGTGGCTCTTCAAATGTCCAAGGCTGGGTTGGGCAGGGCTTGGAGCTCACTGGGACAGGGGAGGTGCCCCTGGCATTGGGTGATCTTTAAGGTCCATTCCAACCCAAACCATGATTTTCTCCCATCCCAAATCCTGTAGCTGGATAGAGAAGCATCACCCTCTAATCCCATTTATCTGGAATTGGGGAGCACACTGGGACAGGGGAGATGTCCCTGCCTGGCACTGGGTGATCTTTAAGGTCCCTTCCAACCCAAAACTATTCCAGGATTCCCTCCCATCCCAAATCCTGCAGCTGGACAAAGACAAGCATCAGTTCTAATCCCATTTATCTGTGTCCCTGCAGTGGCACTGGGTGATCTTTGAGGTCCATTCCAACCCAAACTATTCCAGGATTCCCTCCCATCCCAAATTCCTGCAGCTGGATAGACAAGCATCACCTCTAATGCCATTTATCTGTGTCCCTGCCTGGCACTGGGTGATCTTTGAGATCCCTTCCAACCCAAAACTATTCCAGGATTCCTTCCCATCCCAAATCCTGCAGCTGGATAAGGACAAGCATCAGCTCTAATGCCATTTATCTGGCACTGGGCAGGGCTTGGAGCACACTGGGACAGGGGAGGTGTCCCTGCCTGGCACTGGGTGATCTTTAAGGTCCATTCCAACCCAAACTATTCCATAATTCCCTCCCATCCCAAATTCCTGCAGCTGGATAAGGACAAGCATCAGCTCTAATGCCATTTATCTGGCATTGGACAGAGGAGGTGTCCCTGGCACTGGGTGATCTTTGAGGTCCATTCCAACCCAAATCATTCCAGGATTCCCTCCCATCCCAAATTCNAAAGGAAAGTGGGTTTTTCTTATTTTCCAGTGAGATGAAGAAATATCTCAGGGAAAAAAATCAAAATCAGCACAGCAGGGTCACCTTCCCAGCCTGCCAAAACACCAGATTGACAAAAATCTCAGCTTTGCTTACCAAGGAAGACACGAGGGCAGAGCTGGACACGCCAGGGACCTTGTCCACAATGGCCTGCTTCATGTACCTCTCAATGGCCTGCAGCATGGTGCCCTGCAAAACAGGGAAACAGGGAAAAGGGGAGTGTGGGTGCTTTGGAGGAAGGGGATAAAAGCAGCACAAAGCAAAAATTCACATTCAAAGGAGCCTCAGTGAAAATCGGGAGTTAATTCTGCAAGGTAAACTTGGGTTTGAGCTGCTTGGTCCTGAAGGGTCAGGGACAAAGTCACAGCAGAGCAAGCCCAGAGAGAAATTGGGATATCCAAATATTCCAGCTGCACGTCCCAGTGCTCCTGGGAATTACACAGGGAGTCAATAAACCCAATCTCAGAGAGAAACTGGGAATCCAAATTTTCCAGCTGCACATTCCCAGTGCTCCTGGGAATTGCACAGGGAATCAATAAAGCCAATCTCAGAGAGAAATTGGGATACCCAAATATTCCAGCTGCACATTCCAGGGCTTCAGTGTCCCAGAGCTCCTGGAAATTACACAGGGAATCAATAAACCCAATCTCACAGAGAAGCTGGGATACCCAAACATTCCAGCTGCACATCCCAGTGCTCCTGGGAATTACACAGGGAATCAATAAACCCAATCTCAGACAGAAACTGGGATATTCAAATATTCCAGCTGCACATCCCAGTGCTGCAGTGTCACAGAGCTCCTGGAAATTACACTGGGCACCAAGAAAACCAATCTCAGGTAGAAACTGGGAATCCAAATATTCCAGCTGCACATTCTCAGTGCTCCAGCACCACATTTTCCTGGATATTGCACAGGATATTGAGTGCAGCAATCTCAGATAGAAACTGAAACTTCCCAACCTTCCAGCTGCACATCCCAGTGCTCCAGACCCACAGAGCTGCTGGAAATTACACAGGGAATCAATAAACCCAATCTCAGACAGAAACTGGGATATCCAAATTTTCCAGCTGCACATTCCAGTGCTCCTGGGAATTACATAGGGAATCAATAAACCCAATCTCAGATAAAAACTGGAGTTTCAAAACCTTCCAGCTGCACATTCTCAGTGCTCCAGCACTGCATTTTCCTGGAAATGGCACAGGGCATTGAGTGCAGCAATCTCAGATCAGAAACTGAAAATTCCAGATTTTCTAGCTGCACATTCCAGTGCTCCAGACCCACATTTCTCCTGGAAATGGCACAGGGCATTGAGTGCAGCAATCTCAGATAGAAACTGAAACTTCCAAACCTTCCAGCTGCACATTCCCAGTGCTGCAGTGTCACAGAGCTCCTGCAAATGGCACAGGATATTGAGTGCAGCAGTCTCAGATAGAAACTGAAACTTCCAGCCCAGTGCTCCAGTGCCACAGAGCTGCTGGAAATTACACAGGGAATCAATAAACCCAATCTCAGACAGAAACTGGAGTTTCAAAACCTTCCAGCTGCACATTCCAGTGCTCCAGACCCACATTTTCCTGCAAATGGCACAGGATATTGAGAGCAGCAATCTCAGATCAGAAACTGAAACTTCCAAACCTTCCAGCTGCACATCCCAGTGCTCCAGCAGCACATTTTTCCTGGATATTGCACAGGATATTGAGTGCAGCAATCCCAGATAAAAACTGGAGTTTCAAAACCTTCCAGCTGCACATTCCCAGGGCCCCAGTGTCACATTGCTGCTGGAAATTACAGAGGGAATCACTAAAGCCAATCTCAGATAGAAACTGGGAATCCAAATATTCCAGCTGCACATCCCAGTGCTCCTGGGAATTGCACAGGGAGTCAATAAACCCAATCTCAGACAGAAACTGGGATACCCAAATTTTCCAGCTGCACATCCCAGTGCTCCTGGAAATTACACAGGGAATCAATAAACCCAACCCTAGAGAGAAACTGGGATATCCAAATTTTCCAGCTGCACATCCCAGTGCTCCTGTGAATTACACAGGGAATCAATAAAGCCAATCTCAGACAGAAACTGGGATACCCAAATATTCCAGCTGCACATTCCAGTGCTCCTGGAAATTACACAGGGAATCAATAAACCCAATCTCAGATCAGAAACTGGGATATCCAATTCAGTTGCACATTCCCAGTGCTCCAGTACCACACTTCTTCTGGAAATAGCACAGGGCATCGAGCAGAGCAATCCCAGATAAAAACTGGAGCTCCCAAATTTTCCATTTGCACATTCCCAGTGCTGCAGTGTCACAGGGAATTGAGAGCAGCAATCTCAGATTCACCCTAGATTCACCCTAAATTCACCCTACAAGAGGGCAGTTCAGGGATCAAGAGGGCAGTTCTGGGATTGAGAGGGCAGGTCTGGGGTCAACAGGGCAGATTTGGGATCCAGAGGGCAGATTTGGGATCCAGAGGGCAGTTTTGGGATCAAGAGGGCAGTTCTGGGATCAAGGGGACAGTTCTGGGATCAAGGGGGCAGATTTGGGATCAAGGGGGCAGTTTTGGGATCAAGGGAGCAGTTCTGGGATCAAGGGGGCAGATTTGGGATCCAGAGGGCAGTTTTGGGATCAAGAGGGCAGATTTGGGATTCCAAAGCCCCCAACAGCTCCCCCCAGTGCCTGTACTCACATCAGTGATCCTGCAGAGAGCTCGGATGGCCGGGCCTCGATACACATCCTCCTTGCCTGTCATGTCTTTGGTGAGACTGAAAGCACCAAACACCCCGTTAGCACCTCCTGAGCACCCCAATCCCACCCTGAGCACCCCAATCCCACCCTGACCCCCCCAATCCCACCCTGAGCACCCCAATCCCACAGGGATTTTGTGACATCCACCCCAATCCCACAGGGATTTTGTGACATCCACCCCAATCCCACAGGGATTGTGTGACATCCACCCCAATCCCACANCAGTTTGCACTAGAAATTATTGTGATTGATGTAATCAAATGTAAGAAAAGAATTGGAGGAAAGGAAAGTGGGTTTTTCTTATTTTCATGTTTTACACTGGCTGCAGAAACCTGAGCAGTTTGCATTAGAAATTATTGTGATTTATTGTGATTGATGTAATCAAATGTAAGAAAAGAATTGGAGGAGAGAAAGGAAAGTGGGTTTTTCTTATTTTCATGTTTTACACTGGCTGCAGAAACCTGAGCAGTCTGCACTAGAAATTATTGTGATTTATTGTGATTGATGTACTCAAATGTAAGAAAAGAATTGGAGGAAAGTGGGTTTTTCTTATTTTCATGTTTTACACTGAACAGTTTGCACTAGAAATTATTGTGATTGATGTACTCAAATGTAAGGAAAGAATTGGAGGAGAAAAAGTGGGTTTTTCTTATTTTCATGTTTTACACTGGCTGCAGAAACCTGAGCATTTGGCACTAGAAATTATTACAATTGATGTACTCAAATGTAAGAAAAGAATTGGAGGAGAGAAAGGAAAGTGGGTTTTTCTTATTTTCATGTTTTACACTGGCTGCAGAAATCTGAGCATTTGGCATTAGAAATTATTGTGATTGATGTACTCAGATGTAAGAAAAGAATTGGAGGAGATTTTCATGTTTTACACTGGCTGCAGAAACCTGAACAGTTTGCATTAGAAATTATTGTGATTGATGTGCTCAAATGTAAGAAAAGAATTGGAGGAGAGAAAGGAAAGTGGGTTTTTCTTATTTTCATGTTTTACACTGGCTGCAGAAACCTGAGCATTTGGCACTAGAAATTTGCATTAGAAATTATTACAATTGATGTGCTCAAATGTAAGAAAAGAATTGGAGGAGAGAAAGGAAAGTGGGTTTTTCTTATTTTCATATTTTCATGTTTTACACTGGCTGCAGAAACCTGAGCAGTTTGCACTAGAAATTATTGTGATTGGTGCACTCAAATGTAAGAAAAGAATTGGAGGAGAGAAAGGAAAGTGGGTTTTTCTTATTTTCCAGTGAGATGAAGAAATATCTCAGGGAAAAAAATCAAAATCAGCACAGCAGGGTCACCTTCCCAGCCTNTCCCATATTCTGAACACACAGAATAATCCCATATTTTGAACACTCAGAATAATCCCATATTCTGAACACACAGAATAATCCCATATTCTGAACATTATCAATAATCCCATATTCTGAACATTATCAGGATAATCCCATATTTTGAACACTCAGAATATTCCCATATTTTGAACACTCAGAATAATCCCATATTCTGAACATTATCAATAATCCCATATTCTGAACATTATCAATAATCCCATATTCTGAACACCATCAGAATAATCCCATATTTTGAACATTATCAGAATAATCCCATATTCTGAACATTATCAGAATAATTCCATATTCTGAACATTATCAGGATAATCCCATATTCTGAACACTCAGAATAATCCCATATTCTGAACATTCCATATTCTGAACATTATCAGAATAATCCCATATTTTGAACATTATCAGAATAATCCCATATTCTGGACATTCCATATTCTGAACACACAGAATAATCCCATATTCTCAACATTATCAATAATCCCATATTCTGAATATTATCAGAATAATTCCATATTTTGAACATTATCAGAATAATCCCATATTTTCAGAATAATCCCATATTCTGAACATTATCAGAATAATCCCATATTCTGAACACCATCAGAATAATCCCATATTCTGAACATTCCATATTCTGAACATTATCAAAAATCCCATATTTTGAACACTCAGAATAATCCCATATTCTGAACACACAGAATAATCCTATATTCTGAACAATATCAGAATAATCCCATATTCTGAACATTATCAGAACAATCCCATTTCCACAAATGTCTGGAATATCTGTGCAAAAATCCTGCTTTTGTGGAGTTCTTGCTGATATTTGGGCTCATCTTTTGCATCTGGCAAATTTTCTGCAGGCCAAGACTGAGATAATTCCCAATTTTTGAGCCCTCACATTCAAACCCCTTCTGTAAAACCACTGTTGGACAGGAATTCCAGAAATTTAGGGGTAAAAAAATCCAGATTAACAGCCAGATTGTTAATCTTAATTAACAACCTCATGCTGGCATCATGGGAAAATGAATGAATTTTTTAAAACTGTCAAGTTTTTTCTCAAAAATTTCAATTCTTGCTTTCAAAAAACTAAAAAAAGATTTTTTTCTGAAGTTTTCTGAATGTCCCCCAGCATTTTTAGGGCCAGGCAGCCTCACACACACCTGGACCATGATGTTGTCACTGGAAGCTGCTTCCTGAGCTTCATTGATCCACCTTTTCACCACATCATAGCTGATCTTCATCATGTGCTGCAAAAAAATTGGGATTTGAGATGAGCTCACAGCACCTTCACAGCCACTCTTTATCCCTGTAAATTCTGCATTTCCCTCCAGCCCTTCCCAAATTACCATGTTTCACTGCTATGAATAAAAATATTCACTCCTGAGGTGTTTCCCAGCCTTTTCTCCTCAAAAAAGAGAGGAAATCAGTGGATTCCTTCCTCTTGCACTGCTGGTGTCTATTAGCAGAGATAATCCTGAATTGCAGTTTCAGCAGGGATTTCATGGCTCCTCCCCAAATAAATTCAATTTTTACACTGGCTGAATAAATCTGAGCATTTGGCATTAGAAATTATTACAATTGATGTGCTCAGATGTAAGGAAAGAACTGGAGGAGAGAAAGGAAAGTGGGTTTTTCTTATTTTCATGTTTTACACTGGCTGCAGAAATCTGAGCAGTTTGCACTAGAAATTATTGTGATTGATGTAATCAAATGTAAGAAAAGAATTGGAGGAAAGGAAAGTGGGTTTTTCTTATTTTCATGTTTTAC